GATTTCTTAGCTACGTTTTCAATTCTCCGAAAAATACATTGATTATTTAAATGTATTACAAAGTTGCCGGTCCTCGAAATTGCAACAAATTTAGGTCTGTATCTGAGCATGATTTGTAAAGTTGCCTGGAACGATTCGTCCTTTCTTTGGATACTTTTTTCCCATTTTAATTTTGGATAGATACTTTTGACGTTTCATTGTTTCTGCCGCGGAATAACGTAACTGCATTTTAATGTTGCCAAATTTCCCCTCGCAAATTACAATATTAACCGTAGGCTCTCGGGCATATCCAACTAAAAATTTATCCGATTTTCCATCTGATCTCATGCAAAAATCAGAGACATTTTGGACCAAAATTGCACAGGTACATTCTTGTAATAAATTGAATTGTTTGAGTCAATTTTGCAACATTGAATTGGGGTTACGTTCCTTCGTCCGTAAAACGACGGTTTACGTCAGTGGCGTGGCGTACTTTGCGATCTATCGATTGTTATGCTATTTAAACCTATGGAAAAGGATCGATAAACAGGGTGTTCGCAGCGAACACCTTAATAATCGATTCTTTACTATAGGTTTAAATAGCAGAACAATCGATATATCGCAAAGCATGCCACGCCACTGACGTAAACCGTCGTCGGACGAAGGAACGTAACCCCAAAATTTCGCTATTAAAGACGTGCGAAATTTTCAAAGCATCATCCAGATAAAAAGGCATACAATTTTGAGCAAAACGGCGACCGCGCGGAATTCGTCTTTCGAAAAAATGAAATGCACGAAGGTATATACATATCGACGGTGAAACTACCAAACCACGTATCTCGGTTTGCGACGTCGCAGACTTCCTGTCATACTTTATTTATTAAATGAAAAACTACTTAACATCCAGTCTTGAAAATTTCTGTGATTTTTCCTCTTTGTGTGGAGAAAATTCCGTGAAAATTTCAAGGAATGATATTGATTTGGTCTACTTCAAAAAAATAAAATGTGAGCATAGATTTTTAAACACCGCAAACGAGATACGTGGTTTGGTAGTTTCACCGTCGATATGAAACATCACAAACCGAGAAACATGCGCATGATTTCCTAGTCGTATTGGGGAAACTGATCGAAAAGAAGTCGAGTAGGTACGATTGAGAAAAGACCATTATTGACGTATTTATGCTAAAAGGAACTATGTGCATAGGCTTTGCGAGAGACATAGTTCCTCTTAATAGGATTAAAGTACTTAATAGTAATTCCATATTGTTCTGCTCTTTCCTCTCCGCGCTCTGCCGTGAGCCGTGGCCGTGTGGGGTGAAGCTGTGTGTGCCTGGAGAATTAAAACGCCTTCAACTTCGTGCGTATGCAATGCGGACATCCGTACAGCTCGAATAGTTGTATCCGTGCAGGCGTTAAAATGAGATTCATATAGCGTGCACTAATTGAGGGCGCTTTGCTTGTTTCTTTGGTGCCTTACTAATTCCAGCGTTGCCAATTGTGCCTGACTATTACTCATTCATATTTCGACTTTGCCAATTTTCCGAGGAATGCTTTGTTCTTCTAAGTACCACGTTAAACAGAGAGGAACCAAGCCACATCAGCTATTGCCAAAATTTAATCGGGCAATTTAATGTTTTACATGAAAGCAGTTGTGCGGATTTTTGGGTAAATTTCAGTAAATTTTCTCCCTAGTGCGAAATAAATTCTTTAAAATTTTCAAATGAATCTTCACAAACATTCTCTCGTAAAAAATTAAATTGCCCAGATAAGAAACATGAATCAGAATGTTTAACTTCGTACCTTGTCTAGTGGTCCATTCCAGTCTGGATTTTTTCAGCTCTCAACGAACGAAATGTTTCATCACCTAACGAAAAACTAACGACCATAGATCCTCCTTGATTTTAAAATAGTTGTGGCATACCGTTGAGACTTCAAATTTACGAAATAAAGCATCAGGTTTTCTTGTAATAGAACAGTATGTGTGGAAGAAGAAGGTCCAAGTCTCGATTGGAGTTACGGCATTTTTCTTGTGGACGGCAGACCATTACTGCCGTGCTAAGGAGAAACGTCGTATGAGCTCTCGAATGTTGTCAAATCTCCTCTTAAAAATATGTATTTCTGCGAAGGAAGTTTGGCACCGTTTGAAGGCTCATACTGCGATTTTCCTCAGCGTGGCAGATTAGACCGGATTCATAAGGAACGATTCAAAGACAAAGTATTTACGGAAATCCGCCCAAAAGTCCCTATTCCTAAGTAAGGCGATGACGAAAGTCATGCGTATGTTTTCCCTTTATAATTTTTTCCCTTCATTTTTGGCGTTTCCGCTTTAGGGGTGAGTCGCGACACTCTCTTTTTCGTTTTTGGGCTGATCATATCTCCTTTTTGGGGTTCGCGCTTTCGGACATTGGCTCTTTTGGGCACGTCAATTTGTTAATATAACGTTTTCCCCGAGCAAGGTCACCAGGCGGCTGATCATTGAATTTGATAGACAAAGCGATAGACAAAGAAGAAAAAGGAAATGTGGGAGCGATCCTATTGGTTGAAATTCGTGGTTCTTATAGCTAAGGGGAAAAATGATGGACTAACTGTAGGGTCTCCTTGTCGGTTGCCGTTAGTCAGTCTATTACTTACCTACTTTGTCCGTTGCAACCACTTTCACCAGTAGGATCCAGTGGCGTGGCTTACTTTCGATGTTTAGATTGATCTGCTTTTTAAACCTATGGAAATGTATCGATAAACAGGATATTCGCACCGAACACCGTAACAATCGATTCTTTACCAAAGCTTCAAATGGGGAATATCGATAATCGACCATTCACGCTTCGCCATCGTCCCATTTTCCCTCTATCTCATATATCTGTCGAAGGCAATTAGTCTAACCAGGCATTCTATCAAACGCCTCGGTCGGAAGTCAAATTTTAACACTTTACAGAATTCTGTAAATTTATGGCGAGGAGATCACGGGTTTTCAATATTTTGGGGAGACTAACTCTTCAAATCCGCGAACTCACCTTGTTCCTTTCTTTTCAAATGCCTCTTGTACATTTAAATGTTGCAATTTTAAAAAATTGATATTATATGGCTTGCGGAAAATTTTAAGATAAATATCGACGGTGAAACTACCAAACCACGTATCTCGGTTTGCGACGTCGCAGATTTCCTGTCATACTTTATTTTTTAAATGAAAAACTAGTTAACATCCAGTCTTTGTAATGTCTGTGATTTTTCCTCTTGGTGCGGAGAAAATTCCGTGAAAATTTCAAGGAATGATATTGATTTGGTCTACTTCAAAAAAATAAAATGTGAGCGTAGATTTTTAAACACCGCAAACGAGATACGTGGTTTGGTAGTTTCACCGTCGATATGCATTCAGAAACTAAAAATCGTTTAGAATACATATTGGGCCAATCTTAATAGACCAAATTTAATAAAATTAATGGTATGTCATTTTACTCATCTACTAAATAGTAGTATAGCAAAGACAAATATTTGTAAATAAAAATAAACTGCCGAAATCGAAATTAGGATTAAGGAAAACCAAAACTAATAGAAAACACAAAATGTGAAGAACAAGAAAAAACATAGGGAACCAAACCTAAAATGTTAATAAACGATATAAATAAAAATAAAGAGATAAATATAAAAACTCTAACTTTTATTTTATTATAATAATAAAAGTTGATAAATTCAGTAGTTAAAAATCATAATAGAAAAATATATAGGCGAACAATAAAAGGGTTCATGCTGCATATTTTTACAGAGAGTTCTTTCTTACAGGAGCAACGAATTATTTTGTCTAAAATTAGGAAGAGAATCAGAATCTCAATCTAAGTAAGAATATTTGACTATTTGCCTAGGCATTTGACAAAATGCCTGATTTTACTATGTGCCCTCGACATATCCATCGCTTTGTCCATCAATTCCAATAATCACACCGCAGTCTGTGCGATAAAATTTGGACATTTTACATGGAGGTAAATAGGGAAAAGTGCTGATTTTCCAGCACTTTCCGGCAACAATGCCCTCGAGCGCGTCACGTCACGTCGCGTCACAGCGAGGTGACCCCCTCCCCCCCCCCCCCCCGCGTCCACGTCCGCGACGCCGTCGTCGTCCACCGCGAAGGGCCGATCGCCGCTGCAATTACGTTTGCATTTAAGTATATATTTGCATTTTTATGTGCATCGTGACAGCATCGACGGGGCGTCGAGGCAGGAAGGGTAGCGGCGCACGGTGGATCGAGACGATTGGAGAGTTCGGACAAAATTTGTTTGACTAAAATTGCAAATTTTAATGTTTATTTCATCACATTTTAAGATTCAAGGGGTGTGTCTGTAAGAAAATTGTACGAAGAAACCAGTGGAGTTACTTTTAGAACCCCTAAAATTTGTATGCACAGAGATATGCTACCGTGCTAAGGAAAAACGCCGTATGAACCTTCAGGCGTCGCCAAATTTTCTTCGATGAAACACGAATTCTCTGGTACTCTCATGAATATTTTTCTTTCAATTTTTCAGAGAATATTGTTTTGCATTTTGATCCAAAGTTCCTGAAAATTTCAAGGAAAAATATTCATAATCCCCCTCATAAATAAAAACTTTTTCAAAGGAAATTTGGCCACTCTCGAATGTTCATACGGCGTTCCTCCTTAGCACGGCAGTATAAGCGTTTAAAGTTCCCACATTTTGTCCGACCTCTCTCATTGGCTATACCCGCTGTGCGGCGGGGGGTGGGGGGAGGTCGTGGAATCGTTCCAGGGGCCTTGGGGGGTGAGTGGGGGAGGGTGGACTTTCATGTGGCGGGAAAATCGATCCCCGACCGAGCTGCGAAGTTACTCCACACTCGGGGGGATAGTTGTAAGTCACCCTCTTCCCGGGAACCACGCTCCCGACGTCAGCCACGTTCCCGACGGATCCTCACGATCTTTTCGCGTCGCCCTCGTGAGTTCTCCCCTTTCCTTTTGTTTTTCGACACCCCC